GGTGGTAATAGTGAGTCATTCACTCCTATGAGGTGTAGCATGCCAAGTACATCTCTTTCTAGATCTCCGTTTCTAGACCCATCAAATTGGGAGTCCCATTCAAGAAGCAACTCGTCTATCTTCTCTTTGTCATTTAAACTTGCCTCCCTTGCGTCACGAGCATCAGTCACATTCTCTAAGCTTGAAATACACAACGATCCCTGAATAAACCTCAAGTTCTTTAACTCTGCTATCCTGGATCCACTACCCTTGCCCACAACAAAGTCTGATAATACGATTAATTTTTTTAGTTTATGTATTCCTAGTGGCATCTCTTTTATCTTGCTTGCATTTGTAAAATCAAGAAAACGTAGATTTATTAGATTTTCCATCCTTGTAGGCAACCTCTCAAGGAATCTACAATCGTTTAACTTCAGAACTTGCAAATTGTACAGAGAACATGTTGATTCTGGTAAACTTCTAATATAAGTACCAGAAAGGTCCAAGTACCTCAGATGTTTCAGATTGTCTATTGAGCCCGGCAGCTGAATGATTGTGTATCCTCTTAAGGATAGAACCCTCAAGCATCTGAGCTCTGGCAACATTTCAACAACTTTATTGCTTAAAAAGCAGCAACAAGTATCATCATAACTTATTGAAAGGAAAGTCCTCAAGCGCCTGGATTCTGAAAAAGCTTTGAATTTCCGGTAGCGATCATAATTGCCACAAACAAAAGACACATGCCTGGCCTTTCGAGATAATTTGGAACCTTCTATAGATCCCGATTCATCTTCCACTCTGAAACACATTTCCCCAGCCGCCCATTGAGCTAGATCATTCACAAGGTCATGCATTACAAATAAATCATCATCATAATCATCATCATCATCATCACCATCGTCTCCACCTGATGGTTGAAAAAGTGACATCAACAACATATGGTCAAAATACTCGCAGCCAATATCTTCCATTTGCTTGTTTTCATCTGCTGCCGTGATCAAACCTTCTGCCATCCATAAAATGACTATATCTTCCTTTTTGAACTCATAGCCCTTAGGGAATAATGCACAATAAGCAAAACAACGCTTCAATTCTGAAGGGAGATGGAAGTAGCTCAATCTCAAAACAGGTAGGATATCACATTCAGATTCTGACAAATCCCAGAGTCTGCTACTTAATACTTGTTCCCATTCATCACCTGGTTTGGAGCGTAGAAGGCCACCAAGAGTCCTTGCTGCCAAGGGCAATCCCAGGCACTTGTTCACGACTTTCTGACAAACTGGTTCCAGATTTTGAAGCTCATTCGAATTTTTGCGGTCAAATGCATGCTGCAAAAAGATAGACCAACAAGCATCATCTGGTAAAAGCTCCAGATCATAGCACAAATCAGTTCCTGCCATATACGCAACATCTCTGCTGCGCGTTGTCATGATTATTTTACTTCCTGGTGCTCCAGCCTTAAACGGAGATCGCAGTGCATCCCAGTCACCATAATTCTTGTCCCAAACGTCATCCATAACAATCAAAAATTTTTTCCTCTGCAGTTCATCATTTAACTTAATCTGAAGTTGATTAAACTCTTTGAGATCACAGGATTGAGAGGTGATGGCCTCAATAATGACTTTTGTTATTCTGATAACATCAAAATCATCAGACACACACACCCACGCTTTCAAATCAAAATGCTCCATCTCTTTATCATTGTAAACAAGTCGAGCAAGCGTCGTTTTCCCAACCCCTCCCATTCCGACAATAGGTATCACACTGAAATTGGTATCACATAGTTCGTCTCTCAAAACCAATTCAATTATCCTCTTCTTATCTTCATCTCTACCAAAAATGCCTGCAGGTTCATAAGGCAAGCATGTACTAGGTGCTCTTTGCCTCATCACTTTTCTAGACATTTTTCCTCCACGATCAAGCTGAACTAAGCCAAGTTCGGCAATACTCTCAGTTATATCCTGCAACCTGCTAGTGATATCCCTAATTGCAGGTTGCATACGAGCACTGAACTTAAGAGCAGAAAGACTTAAGTTCGCCAACCTAGAAGGTAAATGTTTTGATATCTTACTTAAAATATTATGAGTTTGATCTCGTCCCAGGGCTTCAGTGGCAAGTTCGTCAACCACGTCTTCCATGTCATAAGACAAATCTCTGAGATCTTGCAGCCATGTTTTGGCAGCTCTGCTTGTGAGTCGCTTCTCCTCCGCGTCATCGATGACTGCCTGGATTATTGATAGCTTTTTGCTCCATTTGAGGAGCTTCTTCTCAATGCCTTCTTGGCGCAAGAAACTCAACAAGGTAGGGGAAAGCAATTTGTCAAACAACACCTGTAGGAATGCAGAAAGGAAAGCCTCCCCTACCGCCATTGGGATTGTTTTCCGTTTGGAGAGAGGGAAAGAAATTGGGAATTCACAGAGAAAACGTTGGGAAAACCAAGCAGGCTGCCTGAGAGACAAGGAAGACATTCCTTGTTAGTCAGTCAACTTTGCAAAAGGGAAATGCTGTGGGTCCCCCCACAAGTTGATTTCTTTCTTTCTTTTTTATTTTATCAACTTTTAGTAATTTAGGAAGAAACTTCTTTTGCAATTTTTATCATTTATATATTAATATACGGCCTAAATAAATATAATTTGGTTTTTTTATTTTTAAAAATATTTTCAAATTATCCGTGATTTACTGCCTTTGTTATCGCATAGGATTATCCTATGTGTCATTAAATTTAATACGCGATATAATTTGATCTTTATAAAAAAATAAAATAAAATAAAATCGTAATTCAGCGAATAATTAAGAAAAATTAAATTAAATATATTTAATTAATTATATAAAAATAAAATTCTTACATATTAAATAAAACCAAAGTAATTTTCAAAACAATCTTTTTGATTAGAATAAATGTTTACAATTATCAAAATAAAATCATCAATTTTTTATTTTTTTTAACAGTTAAAGATCCACATTATATCTCTTTGTCAATACCCAAATAATTATATTTAATTTATATGATATAGGTAATACATATATACTCGTAACAAGGTCAGAAAAAAACATGTTTATGGTATTACTTCCAATTTTTTAACACTATAAATAGGGTCAGACCATAACCAGATTATACAATATTGTTTACTCTTAATCAAATCATATCATTTTTACCAAAATTGTCCAATCAAAATATGTTTACATAACACAACACATTCCAAAAAATTGGACACACGTAATTTTGATGTCTACAGAAAGTTTATGATGTGTAGATTTATAAATAAAATAATTTAGTAGCGGTGGAAAAAATCAAAAGTACGATCAAGATATTATTACTACACGAGCACTAAATTTTCAAAAATTCATATGTTCTTCAATTCTAATCCGAATAATACAATCTTAGTGCTAAAAAAAGTTAATGAAATCTAGATTACAAATAAAATAATTCGGTATCAAGAACGTGCTGGAAAAATAAAAAATGCAAACAGAATATAAGTGTTTATGAAAAGAAATTGCGGGTTTGAACTAAACATAATTTATTATTATATCATCGTATGATAATAAGATTGTGAAGGTTAAAAAAGTGATCAAATAACTATCTTCTGCTACATCAAATGATGATTAAGATTGCTCGACAGGCGTAATTTTTTGTTTCGAACTAAAATTTGAACTGTAGATATCGCAAATGAGCAAATAAGAATTTAATTATAAATACAACACTTTACAAAAACATGCCTTTTGGGAGATTGAGAAGATGTTACTCCACTTCACTCTGCAACCAACAATGCAATTTCTGTCACTATGCACAGGATTCCCCCAGTGCTCCAAGCTGCATTCACGCATTAAGTTTGCAGTGACATGGAGAGAAAAAAATCTTCAAGGTCTGGAACAAAGAATTAGTTTTGCAGAAATTATTTAAAAATTTGCATTTAATTCAACATCGAGGAGATGATGAAAATTCTACCACAAAATATGCTAAATTCCTCAAGTTTAATCAGATTTGGAAAAACATTGTCTCAGTTCTCGTAAAATATTCTCTAGGTTGTCAACCTTTTTATCAATCTTCTGGAAATTTTTGATATAATAATTGAATTACAATTATTTCAGATGCATGTATAATTAAAAACAATTTATTTCCAACTCCATAAAATGAGTTTATTATTTTATAATAGAATTTTTAATGTCTCTTAGTCGAACTAAGTGCAAATTTCTAAATGATTCCAAAACATTGTCCAGTGTTATTCATAGATGTGTAAGTTTCTAAAATAATTTTTTATGAACATTCTTACTCTCGATGTTGTCAGCAAAGATTTTCTCCCACTATGCCCATAACAGCAGCCCAGGATTTCCCACTGCTCCAAACTGGAACGACACAAAAAATTTTGCAATGAGCAAAAGAAAATTTAAGACTATTTTGGGAAACCATTCTCCTAGAATTCATATTTAATTCAATAATAAGAAGATCAATATTCTACCACAGCATGATGAAAATTAATTTCTTTGATTAATATAGATTATATTTTTATATATAATTATTAACAATATATAATATGCACATAAAAGTATATATATTATCTATCAGTGTCTCGAGGTCGGACGTCCAAAGACACTACCACTAATATATATATTGTACACACAAGATAAACTGTATATGTTTATAAATACAAATTGATAACTTAGAATAGTATATACAAAATTAGATGAACTCTGGGGGAATTTGGTTTTGGTTCGGTTTCGGTTTTGCCCCGATGGTAGGTTTAGTGGATTAACTGACCAAAATCAGGTGATACTCTCTCCTAACTCTTGACTTTTGTTTTGCTTACCATTAAATATATTAGCAGTAGTTCTTCACATATACTTCAAATGAATCTAACAGCAGAATATTTACCTTTTGAAGGCTGTTCAATCCAAGGCCCGTTCATTATGTTCAAAATGCTACAGTCTTCGCTGTATTCCAAATCTGGTAATAGCTTTGGAGTTAATAAGAAACACCTGCCAGTAAACAGATTAGTCAAATATTAAAAGACAATTTAGGCTGCCATGAGGAATTTGGGTAAGCTAAACTAGTAAAACAAGGTGATGATACATAAAAAACGACTTAATTTATTGTTTGGGATAATCTAATAAAAGCTTTGTACAGAACATATGCATAAAGATTACCATAATACTGTATAACGAAGATGTTTGAAATTGATGAAAAAAATAGTGTCTTAAGTCACTTGAAACAAATAAATTTTACTAAAAAAATAAACAATTATGCTTTTGGATAAAATACTGATTTCAAAAAATAAACAATTATTTTTCCTGTAAAAAAAAATTAATAGAAAATATATTTATTACAAATATTTATATAATTTATACATTTTAAACTTTAAGTAACTTTATTAGGTTAAAAAAAGAGAGAAAAAATTAGGAATAAGGTGCTTATTCTCCACTTATAAGAACCTAACAAGCATCCATATTTTCATGAAACAGACACAGAAATTAAAGTGAAGTGCTAAATCTATTTATAAGGCTAGATAAACAATGCCAAACATCCTCTAAATACTTTAAAGTATAACTATAATAATCTTAACATATGCCAATATATTAGTTAGATATTTCAAAAAATTATAAAAATAAATAAACTGGACGTTGTGAAGTTCTGTAATTAGTAAAAGCAGAGAATTGAGTGGAGCTATTCAAGTAACAAGACTATTCTACCCAGCTAGGTAATCCTTCTTCACCCCAAGTGGAATGAATAAGAAATTACCCTAAGGTCCTTCCATACTGACTCCTATCTTTTCTTTAAACCAAATATTAATAAGGAGGAAGTATGATTCCCATTTCCTAGCCAACTCAACACACCAAACGTTGCCAAGTACATTCTCCAAAGGGAGATTCATGCATTAACAAATATAGAATCATATATTAATGTCTGTTCTTACTGTGGTGTGTTTGGTTGGCTGGCAGCTCTCACCAGTTGCTGGAACATCTTTCTTTCATTTATAGGGTCCATACCTAGAGAAAAAAAAATTTTAAGAGGATTAGAAGCAACAGTGATGTGATTCCCCTATATCTTCCATATCCAATTAAATGGCAATAACTTCTTCCAATAAAACAAACCTTGATTGATCTCGTCAACTACTCTGAATGGGCAATTCGTAAGATCTTGAAGCGAGACTAGGTAAAGAATAGTTGAAACAGACCGTTCCTAGCGAAACAGAAAGTTCAAGAGTGAGGAAACTCCCGACTGGCTGTAAGCATAATAGAAAAAGAAATGATTGGAATTTCTACAATACCCCTCCAGATTGATGATGAGCACTAAGAACTTGAAGTTGCCCTGCTTGCCTGATTGACAGTCGAAACAATAGCAAATATGAAATTACACATTATTAATCTTAAATAAAAGTTCAAATAGCACAATCAAAATATTCAATAGAAATACAGCATCTTGAAGCTCCATTAATCACAAAAGGATGTGTTTATAGGAGGTAATCCTGTAACAGAAACAAATTATGATCTCCATGATGAAATTTCTATAGAACAATAACCATTGTAGATATGTCAAACATAGATCTCCCATTGACAGTTACCAAGAACCTTGCTTTGCCACAAGGCAATACGTTCGCGCATAACCACCCAATATTATAGAGAACATCTTACTGAATTTAAAGGGTGCAACTCAACGAATTAGCTTGAACCTGGTAAAAAGGCTGTTATATCCACTACACGAAAAGCTTATAAACATCATCCCAAGTGTAATGCAGTCAAATCTCTCTCACAAACAGTTTAAAACTCTATCAGCAACATGTACAAAAAAATTGCTCTGTATAGATGAGATCAGAATCTCCACCTGAATTTTACTTTTATCAGTATTCCAAACTGATCAAAGTCCATGTCATGCTCATCTGAAACAAAGAACCAGATCTGAGAAATTCAATATAATAGTTAATTTGCACAAAACTAAAATATGTACCCAGGGAAACTTCTCCTGCAACAGCCATCTCCTGAAAGTTGCGACTGAAAGTTTCATTTATCTGAGAAACAAGTTTTCTTAGCGTTGGAAGCCAACTTTCCTGCAATAAAGCCAGGAGGTCACTTTTAACGAAGACAGTTTAGACTGACTCAAGACATATACACAGAAAAGAAGGTACAAACAGTTGCAATATTGTGAGGTCACAGTTGAATACATGAATAAGTAAAGAAAAATAACCTCCAATTTATTACACCAAAATCTGTACTTCAAGCATATTATTGGCAGAAAAACAGTCCCGTGGCGATAAAGGAAGTCACAAATGCCATGAGTTTCAGAACAAATAAACCAGAGGATCACGCCCAGACCATATTAATTTTTTAAACAGAGACCAAAAGAATACCAAAAGAAAAAATTTGAATTCTATTTAGTCAGTTAACTGTTAAAATGGAACTTAAATTACAGGAATTTAACCTTTCACCATCTGTGGTGAAGAAATGCAAGCTAAATATTAAAGTCAAGAAGACCAGAGTAA